TATATTGATCCAATGTTGCTGTATGTTATTGTAAGTGATAGATCATTTTCATGACAATATATCAGATAAACCAACATTGTTAGATTTAGGTACAATTTTCCATCTTTCAGGTGAATATGATCGGGCTATAAAATACAACCAATTATTACTTGAAAAACTTCCACCAAATCATTCGAAAATACCGACACTTTACAACAACATTGGATCTGTTCACAATAGTCAAGGTAACTATATAGAAGCGTTGAATTGCTATAATAAAACGCTTGAAATTCGATTAAAATATTTTCACGAAAATGATCTATCACTTGCAATAACATACAGCAACATTGGATCAATATACAATAATCAAAGTAACTATGTTGAAGCATTGAATTATTGTAATAGAGCGCTTGAAACTCGATTAAAACTCTTACATGAAAATCATTCATCACTTGCAATAACATATAACAACATCAGATCAGTACATAAAAATCAAGGCAATTATGTTGATGCATTGAATTGTTATGATAAAGCACTTGAAATTCAATTAAAATCATTGCCTGAAAATCATCCATTACTTGCAACAACATACAATAATATTGGATCAATGTGGAACAATCAAGGGAACTATGTTGAAGCATAAAAGTATTATAGCAAAACACTTGAAATTGACTTAAAAACTTTACCTGAAAGTCATCCAGACATTGCACTGACATACAACAATATCGGATTAGTTCACAATAGTCAAGGCGATTATACTGAAGCATTGAATTATTACGATAAATCACTTCAAATTCAATTAAAGTCTTTGCGCGAAAATCATCCAGACGTTGCAGCAACATACAACACCATTGGATCAATACACAAAAGTCAAGGCAACTATATTGAAGCATTAATTTATTACAATAAAACACTTGAAATTCTATTAAAATTCTTGCCTGAAAACGATCCATCGCTTGCAACAATATATGATAACATCATGTCTCTTTGCAACAGTGAAGGTAACTGTGGTGAAGTGTTGAATTGTAGCAATAAAGTATAAAGTTAAACAAAGTCGGTTGAATTGACATTATGAAATAAATAAATGTGGAAACATCGGATTTAAATCCGAATGTTATGTGTACTTCAAAAAGTAAAAATAATTGACGACAGATTGATTTTGATCAAACTGTCTAAAAACGAGTCATCATAACATGTGTAGACATCAAAATTATCCTAGCAAGCCGTTTTTCCTAAAACTCGATTTCTCTTGGTTACTGGTCAATCAATAGGATTTCAAGGCAAGTGGAGGTCAGATTCAAGTTCTCCGTTCCAGAAAATCTTTGTTCAAATTTAATAAAACCCGGAAGTATTGCTTCTCTGATCGGAAAACGGGACTTTGATTTTCGACCAATCAGAGCGTGGACAAACACAAAAGCAATTTCCTTTTAAGTGTCTGGTACTAGTTGACTTTAGACATAGTGCCATCGCTCTCACACAATGCTGGACCCTACTGGAGAGTGTGTAGGCATTCTCAGAGGGTCTGGCACTGCGCGCGGTGCTAGGACGGCGTCCCCAGGGGTCCAGGAGCCAAAAGTTCTTGCTCTCGGGCTTGTCACCCGTCGGTAGGACGTAAAACATTTTCTGACTACAGAAAAGGAACGAACAGAGATAATTAATACAACTAAGATAAGGCGCTTTGGATCATGA